GGTACATGCAAGGCTATTGTGACATTTAGAGTCGCTTAATATTTCTTTTTTCTGCAAACACATCGCTCTGTATCACATTTTTTGGTACTAGTATACTTAATAAAAAACAAAAAAAAACGGTAAACAGTTACCGGCGACTACGCAGTTTCCTCAGATCAGTTATTACAGAATTTAATACTGTAATTTGGAACAAGTAAAACAACGATGTTGTACATGTTTTATACAATTCATCAAATTAAGTGAGCCTCGGAAATGTATAAAATTACTAAACTATAAATAATATACATCACCCACACATTTTATTTATTTCATAAACTAACCGATTCAACACTTGTATTATAATATATATGTATTATAATCGCACCAAAGTGTAATCGTCAAATTTTCGATGTCGTGACTATTGGAATGCGCGAATAGTGCGGTTAAAATTTATTTGGATGTGGGAAATAATAATTCAAGTACATTGCATTCAGATGAGTTTTCCGGGGTTCGTTTTGGTACCACTAGATTTTCTTTTAATACGTATTTCACGAATCAGACGACGACGTATCAGTTGTAACTGAGAAGAGTTTATTTGTATTCTATATGATACATATTCGCTAGTAACATAAGAATACAATAGAATTCTGCGTGTTTTTGTACGTGGGATCAAATTTTTTTTTGACGCACGTTATGAAAGTTTTGTTGTACGACTTAAATGTAGCAGAAAATATTATTTTTTATTTATTTTTATTTTTGATAAAGAGGACACTAATAAAAAACTTTTATAAGTTAATGGTGTTTAACGCATCGGTACATTTAGAAATCACAATAACGCTGTATTATAGAATATCACGTTGTATGCAAGTTAAACGTTTTGTCGACAATGTTTTTTCCCCTCCTTGGACGTCGTACACCATGTCAAATATGACTGAAAATATATTTGAAGTATACTAATATTCGTATACAAGCTTTGATGTCAAATAAATTTTATTTTTACGTTCGATATTGGTATTCTAAAAAAAATAATGTAATGAGTACAATGAAAGATACAATTTAACAGCAAATAAATCTAAAAAAAATAAAACTGTTCGAAATAATCATAAAAATTGGAGTTTGTTGTTCTTACATAAATCTCATTATATAATATATATATATCGTGTAACTTTGTTGACAAAATGATGAATCGTACATTTCGTATATAAAGAATCCGTGATCATGTCAAACCGATATAAATTTATTTTATCCGTTTAAAACTAATCGTTTCTTTTACTTTTAATCCTAGTTTCATTTTATTTCTTTTTGGTTAAGTTCTAAAACTTTGAACAAGTATGGTGTTATTGTGCAGCATCTTCCTTTTATATAAGTTTCTGTCAGTTACGAAAATCATGTAAGAAAAAACTACAGCGTGTAGCCCACGTATTGGAATAATAGGTTTCGGATTGTATTTTTATTCGAAACTTTGTCCATATCATGACCAATAAGAATTGTATAAGACTTTAATATAACCTAATTTACGTTTTATTACGATGATATATATTTTTATACGAACATTAGCTGGCAAATTAAAATTAAAGTGGAGAAATATTTCATTTAGTGAGGTTAAAATTCGTGGTGCAAACCATAAGTTTTTAGTTTCCACCAGTGCTTAAAAATACGTTGACAATGACTCATGGCCTGCTGTAGGAAAATATTGTTAATTGAGATGACCTCAACCGTCAGATTTTGAAATGACTAGCAAGACGAAAAATTTAATGAATATAAATATATATACTAGTCCGAAACAGATTACATGTCATTTAGACGGAAAAAACGACACAGTTTCGAATATTCATGTTCGCTCTCTCTTGTTAGTGTTTAGTTAAAAAGAGCCAGTAGTTATTTAATTTAATAATAAAATTAGACGTATAAAAAAAAAAAAAATGTCATAAGATTAACGACACAACCAACGTATTTTTTAATATTCATGGACCAATATATGCTCCTTTAAAAATTGATATTTTAAATTATTAAAATACTGCAGATTTACATTGCTAACTCAATTCAAAATTTGACATACTGTATAGTTGGATCGGATAAAATTCCATACTTTTCATTTAAATATTTACTGATCAATCAAAGTTTAAAATTGTAATATCATATCATCGATTGTATGCTATTTATCTGGTCCTACATCGATAAATACACAGAAACAATTTTTTTAAGAAGAGCTTTGATCACAATTATAAAATATATTATTATTTATTATTTAATATTACAATTATTATAAGTTTTATTTTAATCATTTTTTTTTTTTTTTTAATTATCGTATTCAAAGCCATTTCTTAACATTAAAGTGAAAAATAGAAACAATATATTTTTAAGCATTCGGCAATAGTGTATAAAATTACATTTAACGCGGCCATTAGATTTACGATAAAGAAGTGAATTGTTTTATTAAAATGTAAAAAGACAAAAACCTGAATGAATAGGAGCAATTGTTCACAACGGTAGTTAGAAAAATGCCACTTGATTTTTTTAATTATATAAGGCGATTCAAAAGTCTTCATCCGATTTTAAAAGTGTATATTTATTTTGAAAATAAAGAAATAAAGATGGAATGAAGTCAATAATATTCATAAAATAATCAAGTTATATTTAGTTTAGTTACAACTTACAAATGTTCAATATGACCTATGAAGGCCACCCAGCATACATCTACATGGTATTCAAATTCCTCTCAAACGTTGCTGATAATATCTTGTGTCACAGCATTTACAGCATCTTTAATCTTGGTTTTGAGCTTTTCCAAGTATGTAGGTAATGAAGGTACATAAACGTTATTCTTTATATAGCCCTATAAAAATAAATCACACTCTGTGAGGTCTGGGGAACATGGTGACCAGAGATGAATCACCAATTCATGGCCTCTTTTACGCCCAATCCACCGTTGAGGGAGTTGGCCGTTCAGATACCGGTGAACTTCTAACTTTCAGTGCAGTTTACTAAAAATAAACTTGACTATCTTATCTTTCCGTTGGTATATATTGGTCGTTAACCTGCAATCAATGATTGCTGAGCTATATCGGTTCGTAATCGGATGAAGAATTGCCCTTGATATTGGTATAATTTTAATAATTTCAAGAAACGTTTTTATATTTATACTTCACGAGAAGAAAATGAAAAATGGAACTTGAAAACAATCAAAGAAAATAAAAATTTAATAAAACGACTTTCTCTTCTAAACGCGTAATGTCCTCAATTTCTTAATTCGTTTCGGAATTTATTTTTTACGTCCTACGAAACGATTTTCAAGGAATTACAACACGACGGTATATATTTTATTTTTTTTAAATTCTTCCATCATGTATATTACGTAGTGTATACTAAAAAACATATATACTAAAAGTCTACCGACGTTCATATGTGTGTATTGGTTTACTTTTTCTTTTATGTTTTAAACGCGTTTTTCAGTTCCGTGAAATGATGTGGCTCGTTAAATCTAACAAAGTAACGTAGTGGAAAAGCGTCATGTTCAATGGACCAATAGGACGGTGTACTACTATATTACATGCGAAACGCGCGCGCAGTCTAGAAAGCTATTTGACGGGGGTTGTTCCGTTGAAACGTGAAAACGTAATGGAAACACTAAATCCAAAAGTACCCGCGGCCCCGCGACTGTTTCGTATTAAATCGTACGGTTTAATTTCGCAGCCGAAATCATTATCGGTTTTTTTTTTATGTTGTGTTATGGACGAGGATTGAAAAAATCCTCGAAAAGGATTGACGCTTCTGCCATACAATACACCGGTGTTTAGCGATGAAGTGTGCAAGTACGGACGGACCACGGAAAAAGGTTGTGTAACATGTTACACTTATTGGAAATAATAGACTGCGATGATATGAAATCGGGTGGCAGAAACATAATTGCATCAATTTATCAAACGATTTTTTTTTTTTTTTGATATTTTGAACTGAAATTTGAACATTTTAAAGTATATTTTACAGTTTGAAAAAAAATCCAAAACAGCCATTTTTTAAATCGGATTTTTAGAAAAAGTATAGTTTATTTGAAATATGATTTGTTTCTTCCTGTTTATAAGTATGAAAGTCTACTAGTAATGGGAAACTTGTCGATAACTAGTTGTCATTTCTTATACTTTGAATTTATTCAATAAATGATAAAAAAGAATTTCTAATTTAATTTCTGGTAGGACATAATGTAAACATTATTTACCAAGCTGGATGTAAAGTTGTCTTCAAATTTCACTGTACACTATTTGAATGTCACATTTATAAATTGCTTTAGTAGGTTTTCTCTGGAGCTTTGTGTTTCCACACAAGAATAAAGGACGAGTGTAACAAAAAACATAAAATATAAAAACATTTTTATCCAAGTGTCCAATTTAGTTCGATTATGAATTAGCAAAATTAAAATTTTTAAGTTTATCTGGTTATGCCAAATATTTGTACATTAAATACCTATGTTAATTATTTGGGGTTATAACGATAAATATAAATCTATAATTAATGATAGTACACTCAGAAAAATATCTTTCAATGTTTTAATGAAATGGAATCATTATTTTGAAGTTCAACGATTTACCTAGAATTAATACTGAATTATATTAAATTAATAAAATTTTCTTTAAAATAAATACATATTCAATACATTAATATCCATAATTTAAAGATGACTAAATCAAATTAACGAAAAAAAAATGTTTGAAATAATGAAGTCTATAGATTCGTTTCAAGCATACATCCTACTTAAATGTAAAAAAAATATAATTAATTTAAAGAATAGTTTGATAGGTTTGAATACCTCTAAGGCCCTATGTTTTAATGATAATAAAACATTATTTCTAATAAATGTTTTATTCTAGATTAATACTAAATTTATGTAAAATAATGATTTTTTCTTTCAACCAATAACCAAATATATCTTTAGTTTAATTAAATGAGTATTTATTTGTAAGCACTAGATTTGTCTTAAAATCAATACAATTACGTCTATGATATAATTATACTATGCCATCAATTGATTCAACACTCAAAGTTTACTTTAGAATTTATGGGTAGGATTTTCTCGATCTATTATTAACAATATTAACTAACAATTATTTTGATAACGGCGATCCGTATATTGGCGACGGCCGCGGCGGAAATTGAACATTACAATCGAACCAATTAACTCTCTGCTATTATTATTAGTTATTTGTAAAAGTGTTAACTGCCCGTTGCAGTCTTACTTCGTGTTTCGTGTATACATGCTCTTTTTATTGTTTCAACATGGAAGAAATTATTTTGAATGCTCCCGTGATCATCGAAGATATTGAATTTCCTGATCAATCCGACTTACTCAATTTATTAATTAAATTGAAAGGAGATTGTTTCTTCAACGCATTTATTGGTAAAGACCCACATTTTTTTATTTGTATTTACACGGTTTGTACTTGTAAATACATTGTAAAAGAGATTTACAATACGTTATATAACTATTATTTGTAAGTATTTATACTACTTAGTGTGCATTTTATAAATATATAATTCTAAATTTCAAACACTATATAATCTATATTTTAGAATATGGAATAACATCTGAAAGCCTTAAATACACAAACGAAAAACACTTAAATGAAATTTGTCCAAAAAATTTGTATGGACAAAGAATTATATTTGAGAATCATTTGAAAAAGTGGCAGTCAAACTTTGTTGGTGTAAGTTAATCAAAATAGAAGTTTTTAACTGGTATATGGGATATCTTAAAAGGGCAACTAATCTTTCTTTTGCAGAAACAGTCTACTGTTAATGCAAGTAATGCATTAGATTATTCATCAGATTCAGAGATTTTTGAATACTCTACTACAAGTTCCAGTAGCAGTAGTCCAATTTCTTTTAAAAATCAAGTAATTAATTCATAATACTTAAACTTATTAAATGAATACATATTTATTGATTTATTAAAATGTTAAACTAATTTTTAACTTTAGTTGTTTACTATTTTTTTCAAAATGTTTACTATATAACATTATACCATCATTTAAAATAGGTATTATGTGTCAATTAGTATATAGATAGTATAAGTATAACTTAAAATATATTTATGATGACGATACACCCGCAGGTGGTGTCTCCGTCTTAAAAAACGTGCAACATGGAAAATGAACTTGATCAATTCATGGTACATTTAAAGTATGTTCATTATCATCATCGAGTTTTTATCGCTGTGGTATATCGCATTGTTCACAAACTTTTTCGGCTTATCGTACATTTTCTAAACATATGAAATGTGAAATGTAAAATAAAATAAATTCTAATCATAATCAATATAATTTTGTAAGTTATATTGTCTCAAATGTTGATACTGGTCTGTATGTTTTGAAAAGTAATACATATTTAATGGGTCCTCCAATTAATTTATATCATCTAAATAATAAAGACACTGTAATACGGGTCAAACATTACTTTACATAGAATATTTATTAAAATACATATAATTTGATTTATGTTATAACTTATAGTATAAGTTATACATACAACAGTATTTTTTATATAAACTTATGTACATTTTTATTTAACTGATGTTTAATCTAATCCTAAATTATAAAGAACCTATGTATTATTATTTCATTTATTAATATTGTATTGTAATGTATTGTATCTAATTATGTTTATTTTTTAATTTTTTGATAAACATACAGCTTTGATCTATTTCAATATATCATTTTGATAACACTGTATATATATTTTTATTATTTAAAACATTATATACTATATTTTTCTTCTTCATAAATTGTATTAGGTAATCATATGTACTTTCAAACTATAAAAAAGATTCTACTTATAGTAAAATGATAAAGTGTAATTTATATCAATTGTATAATTTTTTATTATAATTTTCAAAGAAATCATACTTTTTATGAAAAAAAAAAAATTTGTTTTAAAACCAAGAATTGTTTTAAAATAAGGATAAATAGCATAAAAGCAATGCTTACAGTTCATTATTTGTTTATATATAAATCAAATTAATTTAATCCCAATATTCTTTAAAAATAAGAAATTATAACATACAATCAATGCAAGAGTTTCCTTTTTTTAAATTTGTTGAGAAATCAATTTAAAGACATTTTTCTTTAAATTAAATACTGTATGACTTTTTTTTATCTTTAAATTAATGCACATAATTTTCATTAATTTAATCTCTGAGTAATTAAATTTATGGATTACAGAATTATAATTAATGAAATAAAACATTGGTTTAATGAAATTTATTTAGCTTTAATATAATATTATATTATGCTATATTTCTATGAATCGATATCATATGCTCCAAATCATACCCGTTTTTCCTTAGTATTATATACCTTTTTCATTGATATTAGTAAATATTTTTCTGAGTGTAAGATAATAACTACAAATGATAACAAAAATCTTGGAATAAATTACATTTCGATCAGCCATTGTATAATAATATGGGTTTTAATAATTATGTGATACACAATAATATTATAAACTTTTTCACAAAATTTTTAAAAAAAAAAACATAAAAAAATAACGCATCTAATTTTGTTATATTTTTCAAAATAGTTATTTTTATTTTTTTTTGAAAAGAAGAATAAAATTTAAAATTTTTAAATTTGAATTATAAAAATCAAAATTATCTTTTAAGGTAATTTTGTTGTAGCCCACGACCTAAATTTATATATAAAAAAAAAATAATAATAACATAGAACTAAAGTTATTGTATCTGTCGAATCATCTTGTGAAACCCTGTATATATTGCATTATACGTATCTTATTTTTTATGGATCGAATCCAAATAATATATCGTACGTCTCAAAGCATGCAACAGAGCAACGAGTGATCACATGTCGAGGACATTCTGACAATATTATTTCACGTTGCGGTACAATCGTAATTCGTGTGCGATCGAAAAAAACTACTGCTAAGAATAGCAAAAAAATAAATAAACACTATTTAAGAAACAGTAAAGTAAAGAGTCCATCAAAGAAATAATCTATTGAACGTGTCCGCAAAATCGTATCAATAAACTACGATGCACGCGCGCAACTTTAACCATCGCCAATTCAACACAAGTACGCGCAAACGTTCGTTCGATTTGTCCAAATTCAGTTTCTGAACGACGTGGAAAAGATCTTTAACGTAAGAGATATACTATGTCATATGTGCGTACATAATATATTTATAATTTCCCGAGACAGGCTGAATTTCCTAGTGAGATACATACAACTGCAGAGGGCAACGACGATTTGCGTTCATTGATATTATTCTCGTTAAATGCATAGCAATAGTACGATTGTTACGGAAACCAATCGTTTCGTCACGGACTTGTATGTAAACCGTTGAACGAAATGAAACGAATGATACACAACACACAGTTATGTATTATATAATATATGAGCATATAGGTAAACTTTTTTTGGGTGATCTAACAGCTTGGATAGTGTTTGGATAAAAGCGCATTCATCTATCGATCTTTATTTTTTTCGTGCAAATACGTTCGTGCTATACAACGGTGTACAACGAAAACGAGAGAACGTTTGTGACGTAAGTGCTTATTGGTTCCAGGAAAAATCAACCGCTGAAGAAACGTTCCCAGGAGCTTAACAAAATTAAGCGCAGGACGAGATATGTAAGACGCGCGTGCATATGAAGTTCACAAAAATATTACCATAGAATCGAATTGTATCATGATAGAATACAAATAATAAAACCCCAAGTACGTAATATTACTAAGTCAATCGTATCCAATTTCGGTAACAACGGATTTTTATATGATTGTTCTGATGAAAATATTTATAAAATAATGAATTTTTTCGTAGACTAAGTATATTGGATTATTTTAAAATCACGCAATAATATATAAATCGGTCTTCTACAGTATACTACTCACGTATAGATAACTGAATAATATCTATTATGCAGTACTAATTTCAGGTGCGAATTTAATATGTACGTTATACACTAAATTAATAATAAAAATAAACAAAATTCGTCATAAATTCGTTTTTCATTGCAAGCAAGCAAATTACTTACCAATTATTAAATAGAGTGGGAAAAAATGCTTTATAATTAACTTTAATACATGTTAACGTAAACCCAGAATATAGTCTTCAAAAATTACACATATTCATAACCAATATTGAATATAAATTTGTACATTTTAATGTTTATAGTAAATAAAATACGGAGAAAGTATATTAATTTAAATAAAAATTATATTTTTATTAAATTTTTTGAGTATCATTTTTTTATTTTTTATTTTTTTTTATTTTTTTTTCTGATTTGTTGATACAAAAAAATTATATTAAACTAGTGCTAACAGCATTTTTTTTTAAATTATTTTGCTTTAGGTAAAACATTAGTGTTAATTCATAATTTATTAATTACAAAATTTAAAGTTATAAATAACCATAACCAATAAATATTTGTACTTGAACAATGGATCTCACAAATATTATATCATCGTGTTTCAAATAATACTGATAATAACTACGAGCAACGCCTTATTGATTCGATACCAGTAGATTTTATCTAATTGAAATAATTATTGTTCCATATACAAGTATTATTTATGATAAAATAAGAAAATAAATACACGTACCAATATGAAATTAAATTTTCTAGAAGTTTATAAAATACAAATACGTATGTTAAATTTATATATACGTTCTATTCATTTTTTAAATATGTGCATACCCATAAACATACATGCCAGTTTAATAATATATGTATGTCCCATGAGGATTTACTAATTTACACATACGGTTGTACATGTACGTCTAAATAATTAGTAAATCCTCACAGGATAAATTTATATGTGTACACGTGGTGGGCCACAGTGTTAACCTGTACAACTATGATGGCACCCATAATATAGCCAACACGGACAAAAAAAACAAAAATAACATGAACCATTTGGTTCATTTATTTACAAACTTCAGTTGATTATTTACCATATTTATTTATGTTTGTGTTGTATGAATAATTTAAAATTTAACTACATGCGTGCAATCTGCAATTCACGTTTGCGTGAAAATTGTTTTTACCTTAATATATACTCGTATATATTATATAAAGAAATTAATTTATCAATTTCGTACTTCAATATTTTCTTAAATAATTTTTAAGTGATTAAGACTGGTTGCACTTCTTAGAATTCAACTTATTGATAAAACTGTTTAATATTAAATGAGTAATTTAATATAATTTAAGGCATACAATATTCTATACGGATAATGATTATCACAAAATATTTTTCTTCGACAGTTAAATCACGAGATATTTTTGTTAGTCTTTAAGTGCTTTGTCGAAAACATATTTTTTAACGAAGTTCTGAATGAAGTATTATATTTTTTAAAGAACACCGGATATTAAATTCTACTGATACTTCAGGTTTTTTATTGACTTATTGGAGTTTATTTTATTTATTTATTTATTTATTTATTATGAAGTACTAATAACGGGTTAAAAATGAATAAGATCACATTCGCGATATGCATATTATAATGAGCTATTTAATATAACATATGAAGTGCGAAGAAAAATTAATCTTAAAATTTAATAAGATCTTTACACCACTATTTTGTTCTTCTATTATAATGCATTTAATTTATCACGAAATAAAATAACTAAGCTTGACGCTAACAATACTAATATGTTAATTAAGACAAATTAAATTTTAACATGAGTTTGTTTTGTTTTAATTTAATACATTTTAATTTCAAAATATTTATTATTTTTTTTTTAAATCTTTAGTAAAGCACCATTTATGTTAATTTTAAAGTAATTAAAAATTCTGAACGAATAATAGATATGCATGATTATATGTATGTTTATACATTTATGTATTTTATCATGTACTACACCACTTGTCAGAATCTACGTTTTACTATTGTACAATTTATACAATGTGAATAAGGGTTAACGTATCTCTTTATCAATATTAAAAAAATATTGTTTTCATTAAACTACACACGTAAGTATTTACTACCTGTAGGTGGTGCAAATTATCGTCGGGTATCGTCGGAGCGTATACTTTTATGCAATAACAAAATACACATATAACATTAGGCTCAAATATTTTCATATGTAGTAGATATAATTATATATAACGATATGACAATACGGCGGTACGGAATTTTTTATTTAACTAATTCACAACACTTCAAGTAAGAGTATTACAATAACATTTAATATTAATTAAAACTTACCTAATATACGATTGTTTGTTTTTTTTCCTTTGTTGATTTTATTCAGAATAGTTTTTAGAACAAAATTTAAAATTAATTGAATAATATAATTAATTATAGTTAAATTTATAGTTAGCAATTAAATTTAAAAAGTTACGGTTCGTGTTTTGTTTTTCTTTTGAATATTTTTTCAAAATAATACTTCTCAATTGACAGTTGAAACAACTACATGATTATTATTCATTCGTTATATATTTATTTTATTATCATTATTTTAAATGCACTTGTAAATAAGTGAATAAGTGCTATGAATATTTTTGTTCGAGATTTATTTCATTAGCTCCTAAAAATATTTAGTAAATAACTAAAAGTGTGTAGTATTGACAGA